GCGTGGCTCGAGCCTCCCTTAGACGAATCAAAAGCTCCTTCCAGGGTCGGTGAGTTGGTCTAGGACTCGTCTATGAGGGCAAAACCATTGGATTCTAAATCGGTTGAAGGACGCTAGTCGTTGACCAAATCTCGTACAAGTGTCGCTTCAACTTCTGGGGAATGGAATGTGTCTGAGAGCTTTACAAAACACCATTAATAACGTCCATTGTTTTATCCTTTTCATATTATATTTCTGAGATATACTGAACTCATAGGTCCACTGGGTATAATGTTTTCAGGTCCTACAATCCTTTTTTCAAATCAGTTTCATTGTAGATTGACTATGAGGAACTCGAGATTTTAATTACAGTATTCCACCGGGAACACAACCGCATAGCAGACGAGCTCAACTCGATTAATCCCCATTGGGATGATGAGACGCTCTACCAGGTTGGTTAGTTGCAGAGTTTTTCATCATTTAATAACGAACCGATTTTCGCCTCACACCTCCCTCCTTCTCCCATCCCTTTGAAGGGCCTTCCCCGGTATAAAACCAGAGACATCATCTATTGAATTTCTCGACATTTTTTGGAAGGCGCTGCCCATTTTGTTGCGTTCCGCCCACCAGTGGACGAGGAACTCCGCTTAGCTGTTCTGTGCTTGTGTTTTTTCTAACTCAAGCTGACTTGGCCTCTCTAGTTGGATCTGTAGGTGCCGGATTTCGTGACGGGCAAAAGGCGGCAAACAGTCAAAGTCATTCTACAATGAGGGTATTTCTGAGCATTATGAACGGAGCGCCACAGCGGAAATCAGCTTGGCATCAATTGGAGCATTATGCCCTTCGGAGCTGTTCAAGCCATAGGAAGAGTCTATGACGACCTTTCTCTAGTAAAGGCTTTTGCTATACTACTTAGAGCAGATAGCTGATGTTATGTAGATCATAAACGACTGACAAAACCACGCTATTAGCTTTCTATGTAGTCTCCCTCTGTATGTACTCTATAGCATTATCATTCTAGAATGCTTCACTTTTTCACAGGAAACACGACGTTTGATAGGCGCTCAGATCGCTCATATCAACTTCAACGAGTATTTGCCGAAGATACTTGGCAACAAGTTGGTTGATGAGTACGATCTACGTCCAAAGCCAAATGGCTACTTCACTGGTAATATTTTCGCACAATGCTTCTTTTTTACTCAGATTTACACGAAATGAACTGGAAGACATCATGGCTTCTTTCGATCATTAGCTGCTCTTTTCGGCCGCACCTCGCCTTGAAGAAGTTTCGCAAGAATTCTGGGTTATGAACAAAACTGTCGTTCTAGGCGGAGTTGTGCTTCAACACCCTCTTAGAAAATTCGATTCTTGTCCGTGATCACTGTAGCATACACGAATTTGTCTAACATATCACTGTAACTGCTACTCTCGACCTTTGAGACTCATCCATTGGAACCTCCATCTTATATACAAATCGTTCTCAACAGACTTGTTGTGCAGGGTGCATGAATACCGTAAAAAACATGAAATATCTACAAAAATCATGCTCCACATCGTGAAAAAGAAACATTTGCACGAGTACCAGTTGTTCTGGTTGTGTCCGGTCCATCGAAAGTGAAGTAGACCGCGCCTTTCGACATTGAAAACTAATCAGTTGATGATATGATTTTGAATTCTGCCTACTCCGTCTTGTGAACTGAATTTCCTTTCCCCAGTGTGACGGCATTTAGTAGCTTGATTGCAGGTTATGATCCAACATGCGAAGCAACGCTATCCCACTCATTCTCCACCGCAGCTTTCCGATTCGGACATTCATTAGCAAAGAGGTAGAGGTAAGCGTCGTAGTGAATAGTATACCAACTTGTGATCAGAACGCTGAATAGAGCTGCTGTTGTTCAGTGAGTGACTGAGGCTGTCTAAAACGCCACTAAAATATGTAAATAGCTCACACAAACACATCAAAGCATCAAGCATATACTACCCTGACAAAAAGGAATGCATACTTAAACAATTAAATGGGTAGAAACCTAACCGCTCCGTAACTGTCAGAATCCTTAATGGCACGGTAATCCTTTTGGTGAGTGGAATAGAGCTGTTTGCGAAGGTCACCGATGCGCCCTTCACAGAGCTAGAAAATAAACGCCAAGGGCGCTACACCCTCCAATATTCCCGATTAGTGGCTCTGAGTGGTAGCCTATCACTCGCTATGCAGCGGCCGTGGATCTGTGCCCTCTCGTACAGCGTGCTCTTTCGCGTGTTCTCACTTCTCTGCTCGCTGTGTCTCTCCGACGTACCACGACTACCTTACAAAAATTGAGCCTGTAATTCCATTCTTTTTGGTGCTTCTTCGCATTTTCTGGCTTTCAGTCCACTTCGTACCTCTACCTTTATTAATGGCCGCTCACACTACCCACCGTATCCAGTAGTGCGCCCTTAACACGCCCTTTCTTCTTTGAGAGGCTTTTGAATTACCCCTTGCACATGGCTCCCAATCAGAATGGTAGAGGAAGCGTAACATACAAAAGTAACCGCGCTTAGGGATATTAATCCTCTTTACCAGTCCACTCTGATCTTATGGAGCCCTTCTGTAATGGTTGCTTGAAACGATCAGAATAGTACATAAAACCAAAGAGAACAATCTATGTCAGGTTCTTCCCACGGTTCGATAGTCGCTACCGCAATACCACAATTCCGGTCGATTTGGCTATGAATTTCGAATACGCAGATGCAATATATGACGAAGAGCGAGGTTAGTTGTAGGGCTTACAATTTATCAGAAAATGCTCCACATCGATATTTTTCAAAGGTGGCATTGAGTCGATCCTGCTTGGACTAGTTGGGGTGTCCTCAATGGCAATGGATAGACACGCGTCTGATGCCGTGAGG